CTAGGCAGTGAAGCAAGATGAAAATGTTAATGAGTTCTATGCCTCCCTTTGTGTTAGCAAACAGATTAATGAGGTGCCTCTTGTAAATTAATAACTTGGAATGAAAGAAAATAGTGTCCACAGGTTTTATCACATGTTCCTCACATGGTATATAAGCTTCCCCCTACACACGTTGATACTCACACTCAGGATCCTGTCTTGGACAGCAGACCTAACCTACAATCCCTGATACCATGAGCTACTAGAGCAGCTACTACGGAGGCTTGGGCTATGGCTATGGCAGCTTCGGGGACCTGGGCTATGGCTATGGCTGTGGGTGTGGCAGCATCCACAGACTGGGCTATGGTTGTGGCTTTGGGGGCTATGGCTATGGCTCAGGCTATGGAAACTACGGCTATGGCTGCTGGCGCCCTTCATGCTGTGGAGGATATGGGTTCTCTAGCTACTACTGAAGAGCTTGTTGATCCACAGAGCAGAATCTCCATGCTTTTTGCCCACCTTTCATGATGAAAATGCTCTCCTTGATGTAGAGAAGACATCTATGGTTTATTGACTTCAAGCTTTGGAAGTAACTATAGTCTTCAGTTTCTCTGGGAGAATCCAGACTCTCTTCATTGAATTTGGAGTTTCATCTTCTATCTTTAGTTATTAACATTTGTTGTGACCATATATGACATATATTTTAAAATAGGCTTTAATAAAAATGCTTAACTGACCTACCAAATATGCCTTCATCAATTAATTTCACTTCTCATCAAATGGGAAAATGGGCTTAAATCAGGATGTTAGCCATTATTATCAGAATAGTTTTGTTTGTCTGATTGTTTTTTGGCTCTTTTTGAGATAGGGTCTGCCTATAATCCCAGCTTGCCTGGTACTCATTATGTGGACCAGATTTTATAGAGATTTGCCTGCCCTTGCCTTCTGAGTGCTGGAATTAAAGGCATGCATCTCCATGCCTGATTTTGAGTAGCTATTTTGATTCAACAATAAACTTAATTAAAATATATTCACTGTATCTTCCTGTTGAGCACAATTCTAAATGCTCAGGATATGAAATTTTACAGTGGGTAAAATCCTGCTACTTTTATGTGTCTTCTCATTTGTTTTCAATAATTGTTTTATAATATGATTTATTTTTAAGACTTGGTTTTAACAAACTTATTATCACTCACACTACAAAAAATGATTGATGTAAAATAATTTGTTTATTATCATCTAAGGTACAAGGAGTATTATACACATTCCCCTGAATTCCCCACTGAGTTTTACATTTGTAATGTTTTTTAAACATTATCTAGACAGTTTTAAAATATTGAATATGTGAAACTTTATTCTGACCCTGTATTAGTTACTTTTCTGCTTCTGTGATAAGACATCATAACCAAGGCCACACTTATAGAAGGAATTTGTGTGAAGAGTTCCTGGGGAGAGTCCATAATACAGGGAGGAATGGAGGCAGAATGTGTCTGAAGCAGAAACCAAAGGATCACATCTTCAAGCAGGCACAGGAGGCAGAGAGTGACTAAAGAGACAGCAAAGCTTATGAACTCTCAACCCCGGCTTCAAGGCTTAACCACCACATCAATGACTGGCACAATAATGGACATTAATGTAGTAGTGGCACTTTTAGGAGTCATCAACAGCTACCTAACTGAACTTAAAGCCCACTTAATGGAAGGAAAGTCATGGGAAGTACTGTAAACATAGCCAAATATACATGGCTGGAGAGGTCTTAGATCTTAGAAAAAACTGCAAGGCTGTCACATCCCTGGACAAATGTCATTTCTTACCATATGAAAAATACAGACTCTTATATTTACAGACAAGTATCCCAGTCACCACTCATCAAAGAAGTTTCTTCTGTAATAGATAGAGACTATTTCTGAGTTCCATAACTGGTCACACACAGAGATTGTCTGTGAATTGCCCAAACCTAAGTGACACATCTACAATGCAACCTCTACACCTAAGGGCTCACGGAACACAGAACAAGGAGTAAAGAAAGCACTAATGTATCTCTCAGCTCTCATCAATGAAGCTCCCTCATGCAACAGGGGGCCAGGAACACAAAAGGTCATAAACGGCCAAAGCATGGAGAATAAGAATCTACAGAGTGTGGGTCCCTGCAGAGTGTGGGACAG